ACAGCTTGGATCTTGCAAGTCCCCAATTGAGGAGCTTCCCTCACTCGAGAACTTAGGGGAGCACTGTTTGTACCATACTTGACCAATTCTGAAACTACTGAGCACCGGTCAACGTTATTCCGTCAAGGACCCACAAGAGTTTCCCTCTAACCAAGAGGCCAATCACAATGCAACACATGTCAATGTCAGAGGCCAATCACAACGCGACACATGTCAACATCAAAGGCCAATCACAGCACGACACATGTCAAAGTTGAAATAAAGCTAGTAATTTTCTTCTATAAAAGAAGATTATTCTCCCACAATAATCCATAATGTCATTTGTACTAAATCATTCACTAGAACTCATTCAAGGTCTACTCCTTAGACGTAGCCAATCTAGGTGAACCACGTATATCTTGTGTTTGTTCCCCTATCTCTGCCCGTTTACATACTTATCCACACTAGTGACCGGAGCAATCTAGCAAAGGTCACAAAAACTTGACACTTTCTGTTGTACCAAAGTCCTCACTGATTTTGTGCATCAACAATATGTATGTGGATGTGATGATTGTTTAATTGTATAAACTAGGGATTCGGGCAATAGGATTGTTTATCATGTTTACCAATTAAATGGAAAAAAAGACTAACTTAAATTAATTTCACAGCAATTTGTTTTGTCCTGATTGAAATTGAATTGGTTGAAATATGTATAATTGGTTTGGTTGTGTATTCGATTTATTGACGAGGCATGCAGTTTATTCAAATTGCTTATTCGTAGAAAAATTTGATGAGTTTTGTGGAGCTGCGGATTATGTTATGCAGCGTAATCCGTTAAATGTGATTGGACATGATTAGAAGAAAATGTTATATAGTAATGTTTGAGAAAGGAATAATGGGTCATAGGCTCATAGCTAGCTGAGAGTATTGTCGAATATAATTGTAGGTAAGTGCTCAAATTGTGAGAAAGGTTAGTGTGCATTGCTTTTTGTGGTTATGAAGTACTGAGGGGAGGATTGATATTTTTGGAGCTTAACATTCCAGAGTTAGCAAATGAGACTTCTATCTAGGAAATTTAAACCCCCGTGAATCCGTGATCTCAGGTTTACATACAATAGGACTAGTGGAATAGACTTCATAGTTGTACATCTATGGCATCATTACACTGTGAAATAGGACTTCAAATTCACTGCTCTAAATTTGATGGTCTTCCAGATTAGTGTTATGATTACATAATGCCCCTTTCGGATCATGAAAGCTGCTGGGCATTGAGGAAGAGTCATAGTCACAAGTCGGAATGAAGATGTAGCAAAAATGATGGTCGGGGAGGAAAATATACATCACCTTCTGCCCCTTTCGGATCATGAAAGCTGCTGGTTGATATTCAAAGACGCAGTTGGTCGGATTCCGTCCAGTCCCTCAAACTTGGAAGATCTGACAGATAATGAAAGCTTCAGGGCCATATTCAAGGACGCTATTAAGAATATTCAATTTCCATCCAGTCTCTCAAACTTGGAAGATCTGAGATTGGAAGTCAAAGAAAAATGTGGGGTACTTGATTTTTACCAATTGTATTTACTTTTCAAACGTTTAGAGTCTAATTAATTCATTTGAAAACATTGTTGATCTGCATTGTTTCGCAGATCACAACTTTGATTTCGTTAAATAAGTTTGTAATGTTTATAAATATGACTTATAACCAACGTTGAAAAACATGTCTGGCAACTTCAAACAAGGCACCAAGAAGGCCTTAGTTTTGAAAGAAATCAAAATGTCTCATTGAGACAGATATTGAATTGAATCGTAGCAAATAATTCAAGTAAGCGATAAACTGATATATCTTTGAACTAGCTAGATTGAAGTGTTTAACCCTGTTTTATATGTTGCAGGGACAGGGTAAGGGTGGTTTGAACTACGGGATGGGTTCTTCCTAATCATACTTAACTTAAGAAGATGATTGTCATCTGTACTAGCATACTAAAATTATCTGTGCATTCCGTGTGCTAAGCTGCATCCTACCCTGCATTCATAGAACATTCATGTTAAAATCATTGAACATCTTTTTGGTTTCATTTGTGAATAAACCAGTATTATTTCAAATTTCAAATTTTCATTTCATTGACATAAATTAAAGATTATCCTTGAGAACAAAAGAAGTATATGGTACCTGTATAATTAGACTTCTCCTCTTGGGATTTTGTTTGTTTATGTGAAGCATGTCGACAAGTGCGCATATGAAATCTTGCCGTTAGAAGGCATTTCTTTGTCAACGTTCAATTCGAGCTCTAATTCCAGTGAAATCTTGCTCCTTGAGACCATTGGAGGAACTATCGTACACCCTGATTAACCAACCCTCCAAGGCCAAAGACTTCCTCTCCATAGCAACGGTGACCATGAGAAGAAGATGGCTACTCAAATGTAAAAGTTACTTAAGGGTCTTATTTACATCAGGCAAGCTTTCACTAGACTCAAGAATTTTGAAAAAAACGCAAGTGATCTTTTCAAAATTCTCCTACAACCACAACAGTCTCGACCCACTCTTGGATAGTCCGACACAGTCAACCAACATCCATGACTCACGGGCTAAGAAGTTTCAACAATACAAACTTCGGGTGCTCACTGACATAATCATGAAACTAAAGATCCTGATTCTGGCAAAAAATGCTGTTGAACAAGGCCATTCTTCATTGCTGACCGGCATTGACAAAGAGCTTCAACAATTGCCCGAATTACATTTCAGCATGGTGTTTTCCACCAGCTTGGCTTTTAAAGATTTTCTAAATGTTTATGACAGTTTTGATGTTACTACAAAGTTGTGCTCCTTGCGTTTTGCGGTGTTTCTTGCACATGAAGTTATAAAAAAAAAGCTTTTGGTGCAGAACTCCAGGTTCTTTTGTTTTCTGGTTTCTACAATGCACATTAACTGTTTGTATCTAATATCTTCTCACCAGCAGAAATTAACTGATCTTTAATCCCTTTGAGTCTGAGCATGAACTTGTCCACAGAATCTTCTCCTTTCTGTACAGTGTGAAATTCTGTCTTCAGTTGATTCACACGAACCATTGTTACTGATGCAAATCTTGCTTATAGGCAGTTCCAGGCTTCTTGTGAACTCTTTCATCCAATGACATGCTCCATAGCATCATCGGAAAGAGTAGCAAAAGCAAAAGAGTTTATGTGCATTGTAGAAACCAGAAAACAAAAGAACCTGATGGTGGTCGAAATCTTGACCCAAATCACAAAAAAGCACAAATCTTGCTCCAAGAAGTTAAAAGAACCCAGCGGAAGACCGGCGCTGAGGACTGAGTGATACCATGATAACAGAAGTGAAGGATTGCAGAGAATGTAACAATGTTGCAGAGAAAGTAACAAGCAAAGAAGAAAGAAGAACAACTCTTGAGAGAGAAAGAGAAAATGTAAATTGTATTTCTGTATTGCTTAATCGAATGACCAGAGTTATTACACTGTTTATATAGCCACACATGACTTACACTCTAAGATACCTGTTTTAACAGAACTAACTACCTAACAAACTTCTGATAACAGTGTTAACACACTAACAGCTACTAACAGCTTTCTTAACAGACTTAACAGTCACTTAACAGCTTACATCATTCATCCTAAAAAGTAAAACCCCTCCCGTATTTGTAAGTTACCAAATGGGTAAAACTAATTAGCCCCTGCCAAGCAGCGGATGACTAGATCGAATACTAATTAAAGAAACTGGACCTTTCAACTAGTTAAATTATCAAGTTTGATTAAATTATCAACACCTTTCAATACTTAAGTGTTTAATCCTCTGTCAACTAGTTAAGTATTAAATTATCAAAACACCTTTCAAATAGTTTGAGCTGTAGGAAGGATTCTTAAGTTGTTCTCGGTGTAATGAGCAATATATAAAATCAGCAATGATCTGCTAAGTTATTATCATGTAGAGATTAGATAGAGTTTTGTACTAACATTGATGTGCTAAGCTATCGGCAATGGTTTTCAGATTTGTGCCTTGCAGCCGTAGGCAGTTTAACACACTGAACACTCATATCAAAGTTGCGCAATGATACAACTGAAGCGGGCGACTGCTTTACTTCCATAGACAAGGCAAGGGATGCCTCTCTCTTTAGTAAGGCCTGTGTGGAAGGACATCCAGGCTTTGTTCCTTTGATTTGACGGGATGTTTATGAGCCTAATATTTGAATGCAAACGAAGATTGCATAGGTCAAATTAGAAGGACATCTTTTTTATAACCGTAGACAAAACCTTTGCTAAAACTGCTGCACATACGACACATAAACACGTTATCAATAGAAGGTGCCTTTGGTTGCAAGAGTAGCAAGTGCCAATATTTGCGTCCGAGCATCCATTGCAGAAAACTGGCCTATTGTTTTCATTTTTCTGCTCTAATTCCTTAAACATCAATGGATGCTTGTGACTGAAATGTTTAATCTCCATGTCCTCTCCGTATACCCGGTAATGCAAAGCCCTCCAGCTAGCCCAAACGGTGAGGTTGGGTGGGGTAATGGGTTAGGATTAAGATGGGTCCAGGGTCGAATCCCTGCAACCGAAATATTTGTTAATTCTTATTCTTTCTTTGGGTACATAGCATAGACTACAATTTTAAAACCCCTTGTATGAAAGCAGGAAAAAGAGGGTATCTTTGTATATTTTCAAGAGAATTAATCATCTCCAGGAAAACGAATTATTCTTGACGTTCTCTTTATACTTTTCCTGTGCTAACCTTGTCCTTGATGTTGATGTGTCAAGCATTTAGCAGCATAAAAAATAAATTAAGTGCAGCAGTTTGAATAATAATACTAATATTATTATTGAATGAATACAGCAGATTGTCAGCTTATCAAGCATTGGACTGTATGTGCCGGCCAAATACTGCTTGAAAATAGTCCAATCGGTCAAGGACTTGGGAGCTTCAGTTGCGGATATTTCAAGAAATTGTTGAGACCCGCAAAAACTTAAATTTAACGAAGAGAAAAGCACTTTTTCGAGAAGCAAAAGCAGTGGAAATAATGGAAAATCAGAAGCTGAAGTTTCATCACTTTAGCCATGAACATCCATTGGAGCTTACAAATTATTCACCTTCCAAACAGAACAAAATCTGTGCAGGGTGCAAGCTCATGATACAGTCCGGTAAGGACTACTACAGCTGCCCAACCTGCCCATTTTTATTGCACCAAGTATGCTACAACATGCCCCGCAAGATGCGTCATCCGGCACATCCAAGCCACTACTTGAACCTCCATCCTTCTCCTCCTTCAAGCACCAAAGGGGCCTTGAATTGTCGGGCTTGTCGAACTCATGTCGTGGGGTTTTACTATGATTGTGCCGATTGTGGCTTTTACTATCATAGCTTGTGCTCGGGCCTGCCCTTCTCCATTAAAACTTCATCGCACCCTCATGCATTGAAATTATCATTTTCTCCACCGTTCGATTTGAGCTGTGATCTCTGCAATGAGCCTGGTTATGATCAATGGCTGTATCGGTGTCACATTTGTGAGTTTGATTCTCATATTTCTTGTGCCATTTGTAATATGCAACCAGGTCTTGAACCTACCCAAAATCCAATTCCCCCACTGCCCACCAACGGGTTTACAAGGCAGAGCAGCTATTCTTCAGGAGCTTCTTTCGGGATCAATGAGGCAGAAAATTACAACAGTGAAGGTAATGAACTCTTGCATTTGGTAAGACAGATAGTTTTTAAGGGTAACATTAAGAGCATTGGTGACAAAAAGGTTTCAAGTGCAGCAGTCACCGGCTGGGATAAGAGATTAATTTCTCCGAAACAAGAGTTCAACGTTACAACTAGCAAACTTGGAAATGGTGGATCACATCAAACGGATGCAGACATGGCCATCACTTCTTTGAATTCAGAAGATACAGCAACTTCGGTTTCTGAAGACATTACTTTGACTCCAAGTTATCAATTCAGCGATGCATATTTTTCAATAGATTTGGCGAAGTCTTACACATCTGATGGTCAGAAAATTCAAGCAAACAGGGAAGGTCCAAACCAAGGAACATTAAGCTACACCGACAGTACTATTCCCCCCAACAAGGTTTTCAGCAGCGCCAAACCAGCAAAGCAACCCAGTTATGTTAATGTATCAGGTACTAATTATTCCAATAAAATTGGACCGGAAAATAAGCTGAATGAAGCATTCTTGACTCGAAATGACACTCTTACAAGGAAGGAAGCAGGCCCAAAGGAGATGAAGAGAAAAGCTAGTGATACCATGGGGAGCTCGGACATTGGAAATCAGAGTACTAAATCAGATATGGTAAGTGATACCGAATTTCATACCATCAGTTGATCCTTATTTATGTGTCTGCAAAATGAAGAATCTGTTTATCACACTCATTATTATCACTTATCATCTGTAGATAGTACATGAATCTCCAAATTAAGTCTTCTTTCTCGAAACTGTAAAAATAGTAAAAGAGGATTTTTGTTTACAACCTGATTGACTATTGGTTCAGAATCTGTCACATAAATACCAAATTTTTCGTATGATTTTCATTTTTTTTATCCTTTTGCTTTGAAATAATTAGAGGAGAGTATTATTTATCTTGTTCCTTGTCCATCAAGAAATTTGGTTTAGAGCTTGACATTAGGAGTTAGCCATAGAAATTACTATTCCTTAATAAACCCATGCTCACAGAAGAGAGTTATATAACTTATGTTATTATGTTTGCAGGATAGTAACAGCCCTTCCTGTTGGCTGAGTTGCTGCAATACGGGCTACGAAAGAGGTAGGGATTAAAGTGTTCAGGAGGCCAGAAGCATAAGAAAACTGATCAGTTACCGAAAAGTATTTCTGAGTGTGATTTTACATGTTGAGAATTCATATCATAGTTCCAATAATTTTTGTACAAGAGCTACAAAAAACGAATTGTGAGGATCCCGATTCGATTTCAATTCAAATTTTTGTTTATTGTTTCAAGAGCATGCATGAGTTGAAAAACCCTCTTCTTTCCCAGTAATAATGATTAACGGTTGCAGTATAAGACTCAGTTACTCATGAGTCATGATGCAGACACCAATAACCAAAAGCAAACCAATGCGAACACAAGATAATTGCAGCTGTCATCACATACTAATATCGTTGTTATTTGTTAACATCAGAAGTGATTAACACTACGCTTAATGTCAAATTCTTCATTCTATTCCTCCTGTTAATTGTCTCCCTCCCAGCCTACATTTTAAAACTGTATGTATCACTACCAAGTCTCGGGCAAGATATTGTCCACTTTAAGCCAACTTTAAGTTAGAATATGTACATATAAGCTATGTAATCTTCCTCACAAAGCGATGCTGGATTGGCTGGAATTCAACGTTGTATCACAATGTGTCAAGATTTCATAAAAACGGATTGAGTGTCCCACTACTAATAATTACACATATATTGTTCCTAATTTAATTACTTGTGCAATCTAATAAGTGTGCAATATTATCACAAAAGTATAACTAAAAACATAATCATTTGATATAAGTTGTATATTATTTTTTAAATTACCGCAATTGGTATGTATATATCACTAAAGCCATCAGGTCTACTAACTCAATGGTAGTCAAGATATTAGAGAATTGCATTTAGCCATCCAATGTGGTCAATGGTAGTCAAGATATTAATATATAAAATTTATCAGTTGGATGTTCATGTTGTTAATTAGGTACAAACAAAAGCTATTATAATAAGCAACACATTGTACGTACTAGCATTTCTATTTGACTTTTGCATCGTCTGGTTTATGCAGGTTAGCACAAACTACATGGGATTTGCATCAAGATTTGCATATTATTTGCATGCACACAAGATCCCTATCATCAACAGCTTCAACTAATTAGTACAAAATTACTAACACTGTCTAGATGGCCTTGTATATAAATAGCACTAAGATATTTGTATTGAAGGAGGAACTAAATAGACAGAGGAAGACTTAACAAGCTGGATGCTTATTCATTCGCCATTTCAGTCAGTGTCACCAACAATATTACCGACACGGTCACCGGCCCTAGGGATGCCGTCATGGAATTTGGCCGTGTGGAATATGATTGTTAGGAGAATGACTTCCTACACTTTTAAAGATATCATCGTGACATCTAAAATCAATAATACTTGCATGATATTGAGAAGTGGGCATCCTAAACGCTATACAAGAGCACCACCTTTAGTTGCTGAATATGTCCGGCCTACATAGATCGCAATATAACATGAGACGCACTGTAAATAACTTTTTCTTTGGTGGTTCATGACTCGACCAGAGTGAAGATAAAAGCATTCAATAATCAAGAGAGTAGCTAATCTACTTTATCTTTATTATTCCCTTTTTCCCCTCATTCCGTTATAAACAATTAGTACTTTTCCTATGCATGAGCATGGAAGTCAGACTGTAAGCCGCAATTTCCAATCACTTGTGCAAAAAAGTGCACATATCATCATCTTCTTGCCAATGTGGTTCATCACATGGGTTCATCATCATCGTCCTTATTCAACAGTACTTTTTAGTTTTGCAAATGGAACTAAAAGATTATGTTTCGTAACCATCAGTTAAGTGCAGTAAAAAATATGCAATTTTTTTTTCATGGTACGTGTTATTGAGTGGTATAGAAAAATCAACAATTAGATCTTGATTATAAAAATATATGAATCTTAGTGACAGTTAAATCTTGAATAAAACTTGTACCAATGAATTATAGATAATTTTGTAGCCAGTCCAAAAGATGATCTAATAATACATATATTTCTTGTCAAGATTACAAAATCAAACATTTCTGAGGGATGCCCACATGACCTCACATAATGTGAGATAAGGAGATGGGGAGATAGCCCTAGACTGCCAAGAATACTTGTAACCACGTGATGATATAAAACAATTGTTTATACAGTACTTATCATTTGAGGTCAAGTGATGAGCAATGTATTGTAGACTACTAGAAAATCATTATAGGTATCTAAGTTTCTCTCCATATATTTAGCCAAAGCTTGAACTTGCCACCAATCGTTGTGATTTTCACCATAGACAAGTTTCGGTTCAATATAAAGTACTTACTATTTGTGATGTGCAAGTGCAAACACAGCCTGGCTGGCTATAGGCTAACCTTTTGGAAGCTCCCCATTTCTAATTAATTATGTTTGTACCATCTGCCGGCTGGTAGCTTTAGCTCTGTATATGAAAGATTAAAAACTTGGACGTATACTACGGTTGTATATACAAAATTGGTCAGAAAGAAAAAAGAAACCCAATAATACACTCAGGATTTAATAAGATTTAACAATATTAGTTTTTTTTTTTTTTTTTTTTTTTTTTTTGAACACCAGTTACCATATCATAAAAGGCCTACAAAGAGGCAAACAAACATACAATAACAAGCAATGACAAGGGGTAAACCACAAAGACCCCTCCACCAAGTAGAAGCGTCACCCCCGACACCACCAAAACAAATTAATGAGGACAAGGTAGCCCGTCATTATTCAATACAAAGACCAACGAAGATGGGGGCCTAACGGCCCAAACGACATCACTCATCTCCGTAAAACTACCCGATGCAATCTTGTGAGCCACGCCATTAGCAGAACGGGGCACCCAAGACCATCGGCAATCAAGAAACTTCCCCCCCAGCTGTTTAACCTGAGCCAGCACCGGGAATGCCTCCCAACTACCCCTAGACAGCGAGCTAGATAAACAATTAATCGCTTCAAGGGAGTCCGACTCAAGAATTACATACCTTACACCCAGGTCTTCACCTAGCTTGCACCCGTGCAACAACGCATAAGCCTCCGCTGCAGCAGCAGAAGGAGCAGAAATAGCATACCGCGCTGCAGCCACAAATTTTCTCTCCATGTCCCGCGCAATCAATCCAACAAATCCCATCTTTGAGGCCTTGGACCAACTAGCATCCACATTAATCTTCACAAAAGGATAGGCCGGAGCACACCACTGCGCCACCTGGGTACCCCTCCTCCCGTCACACCCTCCCCTCACCCCAACCATAGCCTTAGCACCAATAAATGAGCTCATAGCCGCAGATACATCAGCCAATACTTTTAAAGGGTTAACAGACATCCCTTTGAAAACAAGATCACAGCGAGCTTTCCAAATACACCAACAGGTAAAAACAATATATGATTGTCTCCATATTGTATCTCCAAAGTTGCATAAATTCGGAGAGAATACCTTCTGAATCCATTCCAGCCAAGACGGAAGAGAAAGACGATCCAATTTATACCCCAAAGCCCCACCAAACCAAATTGGCTCAACCCAAGAGCAAGAAAGGAAAATGTGCTCAATGGTTTCATCATGGCAGCAGCAAATAGGACAAGTAGAGGTCAGAGAGGACCGTCGTCGGTACAGGGCTTCCCGAGTAGGAAGACAATTATGCATCGTAAGCCACAAGAAATGACGCAACTTGGGGGGCACCTCCAGCTTCCAAATCCCCTTCCAGAACTCCTTAGGAACCCCACGAACAAAAGGCCGACGCTTGTCCCTCCTGGCCATTGATCTACCTTGCAGCCATCTATAACCCGACTTGACCGAATACGATCCGTTCTTACTCAAATCCCAGATAAGCCTATCATTACGACTTAGATCCCCCAGAGGCGTCTCCTCAATAGCCTTCAATGCCTCCCCCGATAAAAATGGCTCTAAAAACCTAAGATTCCACCGCCCCGACTCCGAACAGATAAGCGCACTGACCCTCAAACTGGGAGTAACCGCAACCTGGCCAACCGGCACCGGATGTCCAAGAGGCAAGGATGGAAGCCACCTATCCTGCCACACCCGCACCTCCTGACCGCCTAAAATCTGCCAATGGGAACCCTCCTTGATCACGTCCCTTCCACAGATGAGGCTGCTCCATGCCCAAGAAGCCCTACCACCTTTCTTTGCATCCCATATCGAGCAATGGGGAAAATACCGGGCTTTAATCACCCTAGCCCACAGCGAGTCCGGTTCCGTGATTAACCGCCAACACTGTTTAGCGAGCAGAGCATCATTAAATTCCATAAAGTTTCTGAAGCCTAAACCACCCAAGTCTTTTGGCAAACCCAAAACCTCCTTTGAGACCCAATGAATCTTTTGGGCTCCCTCCTTGCAACCCCACCAAAATCCAGCCACCAACGCATCCAATTCCTGACAAACGGCGGCGGGGAATTTGAAAATGCACATTGGGTACGCCGGAATAGCTTGGATAACAGCCTTAATTAGAACCTCTTTACCAGCACGAGATAGAGTACTTTGTTTCCACCCTTGTAGCTTTTCCATTACTCTTCCTTTCACATAAGCAAGACCACGCCTTTTCGACCGACCCCAA